AGGCGCAGCGCAGTCGCGTGTCCCCCCGGTGGTGGTGGCGGTGTAGGAGATGATGGGGGGGGGGGCATGTGCCGTGCGCAACTGAGGCCCCCGCTGATGGAGCTGCACAGGTCTGAGACCCCCCTCCACGGTGGAACCTCTCTCAACGGTGGGACCACCTTTCACGGTGGGGCCCAGCTCCGTGGTGAGACCCCCCCCTCTCTACGATGTAACTCCCCTCCACGGTGGGACCCAGCTCCGTGGTGAGACCCCCCCCCCTCTACGATGTAATGCCCCCCCCCCTCCACGGTGGGGCCCAGCTCCGTGGTGAGACCCCTTCCACGGTGGGACCCAGCTCCGTGGTGAGACCCCCCCCCCCGTCTCCACGATGGAACCCCCTCCATGGTGGGACCCAGCTCCGTGGTGAGACCCCCCTCCCCCTTCCACAGAGGGGCCCAGCTCCGTGCTGTGTCCGCGCTGATTTTAATTAAAACCCCGAGCGAGGGCAGCGGTGTCAGGTGTGTGGCGCATTAGGGCCCCTTCATCTGAAGCCCCCCTTCCCCCCGGGTCTCCCCGTGTCCCCTCGTGGCACGAGGATTAGCGGAGCCCTGGTGAAGGAAACCCGAGCTGAGCGGCGAGCCCGCGAGCGTGGTGACCACCATCAGCAACATTACTCACGTATCGTCGTCGTCGTCGTCATCATCATCATCAGTCTATAGATATGTATGTAATGGACTGGTAAGCCCCAAGCGCACTAAACCCACGAGATGAAATGTGGACGATTGAGTGGATGAGTGAGTGGATGGCTGAGTGAGTGAGTGGGTGGCTGAGTGAGTGAGTGGGTGGCTGAGTGAGTGGGTGGGTGGCTGAGTGAGTGGGTGGGTGGCTGAGTGAGTGGGTGGTTAAGTGAGTGAGTGGATGGCTGAGTGGGTGGGTGGATGGCTGAGTGAGTGGGTGGGTGGCTGAGTGAGTGGGTGGTTAAGTCAGTGAGTGGGTGGCTGAGTGAGTGGGCGATTGAATGAAGTAGTTACATGGTGAGTTAGTGAGTGAGGTGGCTGACTGAGTGGGTGGGTGGCTGAGTGAGTGGGTGGGTGGCTGAGTGAGTGGGTGGGCGGCTGAGTGAGTGGGCGATTTAATTAAGTAGTTACGTGGTGAGTTAGTGAGCGAGGGAGTGGGTGGCTGAGTGAGTGGACAATTGAATTAAGTAGTTACGTGGTGAGTTAGTGAGTGAGGGAGTGGGTGGCTGAGTGAGTGGGTGGGTGGCTGAGTGAGTGGTGGGCGGCTGAGTGGATAGCTGAGTGACTGGGTGGTTAACTGAGTGAGTGGGTGGGTGGCTGAGTGAGTGGGTGGGCGGCTGAGTGGATGGCTGAGTGACTGGGTGGATAACTGAGTGACGTGGGTGGCTGAGTGAGTGGGCGATTGAATTAAGAAGTTACGTGGGTGAGTTAGTGAGGGAGTGGGTGGCTGAGTGAGTAGGTGGATGAGCGAGTAAGTGGGGGGAGTGATTTAAGTGGTTGCATGCGTGAGTGATTGTTGTGCTGAGTGAGTGAGCTGGTGAGTGAGTTAGTAAGCGAGTGAATGCGGTGAGTGAGTGGTTGGTGAGTGAGTGAGCTGGTGGGCGGGTGATTGAGTTGGTCAGCAAGTGCGTTCGACACTTCGCGTAGCCTTAAAGTGCACTTAGCCTGGCACGAGCGCCGTTGTGACGTCACCGCTACTTAGTGTATGTATGTGTCTGCATGTTTGTGAGTGTGTGTTGAGTTGAGGAGCGGTGGTGTAGCGGTTAGCGCGCTGCGCTACGAACCAGGTGACCTGGGTTCGATTCCCGCTCACGGCCAACACCAGTGACGATTATCTGAACCGGTCCTGGGCCTCCCCTAGGTCGACTCAGCCTCAAATGCGTACCTGGTGTGATGTGTGAGCATCGCCACTAGGGAGACAAGGCGGCCGGGCGTGGTGTTGGCCACTGACCCCCTCTTTGCCGTGCCAGCCAGCATAGGCGCTGGCTAACAGCACTTGCCCCAACAGTCTGTGAAGGCTACACGGGGGATCTTTGTCTTTGTTGAGTTTAAGTACGTGTTGTCTGCTCCGGTTTGAAACATCCAGGCTGGCCTGCCTCCGACCCGTCCTGACTACACGGGGGGCCTTTGTCTTTGCCTGTGTGTGTGTGTGTGTGTGTGTGTGTGTGTGGATGTGTGTGTGGGGTGTGTGTGTGTGGGTGTGGGTGTGGGTGGTGTGGGTGGTGTGGTGTGTGGTGTGTGTGTGGGTGTGTGTGTGTGGGTGTGGGTGTGGGTGGGTGTGGGTGGTGTGTGGGTGTGTGTGGTGTGTGTGTGTGTGTGTGTGGGTGTGTGGGTGTGTGTGAGTGTTTGTGTGTGTGGGTGTTTGTGTGTGTGGATGTGTGTGTGGGTGGGTGTGGGTGTGGGTGGGTGGTGAGTGGGTGGGTGGGTGTGTGAGTGTGTGTGTGAGTGGTGTGGGGTGTGTGTGTGGATGTGTGTGTGGGTGTGTGTGTGTGGATGTGTGTGTGTGGGTGTGTGTGGATGTGTGTGTGTGTGGATGTGTGTGGGTGGTGTGTGGGGGGTGTGTGTGTGGATGTGTGTGTGTGTGTGTGTGTGTGTGTTTGTGTGTGTGGATGTGTGGGTGGTGTGGGTGGTTGTGTGTGTAGGTGTGTGTGGGTGTGTGTGGGTGTGTGTGTGGGTGGGTGTGGGTGTGGGGGTAGCGCCTCGTCTCTCTGGGTCTGCTCTGGGGTCTCCGGCATCCTTGCGTTTCCGCAGGACCACACCAGCGCATCTCGAAACTCGCCTCTCCGTGAGACTCCGCGATTGCGAGTAAGGGACTTCGTGCCGGCTCACCAACCAGCTCACTCACTCACTAACCCACTCACTCACCCACTCACCCACTCACTCACCCACTTACTCACTAACCCACTCACTCACTCACTCACCCACTTACTCACTCACTAGCCCACTCACTCACTAACCCACTCAATCACTCACAGACTCACCAACCAGCTCACTCACTCACTCACTAACCCATTCACTCACTAACCCACTCACTCACTCACCCACTCACTAACCCACTCACTCACCCACTCACTCACTCACAGACTCACCAACCAGCTCACTCACTCGCTCACTCACTCACTAACCCACTCACTCACTAACCCACTCACTCACAGACTCACCAACCAGCTCACTCACTCACCCACTCACCCACTCACTCACTCACAGACTCACCAACCAGCTCACTCACTCGCCCACTCACTCACTCGCCCATTCACTCACCCACTCACTCACCCACTTACTCACCCACCCACTTACTCACCCACTCACTCACTCACCCACAGACTCACCAACCAGCTCACTCACTCGCCCACTCACTCACTCGCCCACTCACTCACTCGCCCACTCACTCACCCACTCACTCACTCACTCACCCACTCACTCACCCACTCACTCACCCACTCACTCACTCACAGACTCACCAACCAGCTCACTCACTCGCCCATTCACTCACTAACCCACTCACTCACCCACTCACTCGCTCACAGACTCACCAACCAGCTCACTCACTCACCCACTCACTCACCCACTCACTCACGCACTCACTCATTCACAGACTCACCAACCAGCTCACTCACTCGCCCACTCACTCACTCACCCACTCACCCACTCACTCACCCACTCACTCACCCACTCACTCACTCACAGACTAACCAACCAGCTCACTCACTCGCTCACTCACTCACTCACCCACTCACTCACCCACTTACTCACCCACTCACTCACTCACAGACTCACCAACCAGCTCACTCACTCGCCCACTCACTCACTAACCCAGTCACTCATCCACTCACTCACCCACTTACTCACCCACTCACTCACTCACAGACTCACCAACCAGCTCACTCACTTGCCCACTCACTCACTAACCCACTCACTCACCCACTCACTCACCCACTTACTCACCCACCCACTCACTCACAGACTCACCAACCAGCTCACTCACTCACTAACCAAGCCAGCCATTCGCTCACAAACTCGCCAGCTCACTCACTCAACCACTCACCCGCTCACCGCTCACCCACTCACCCCTCACCCACTCACCCACTCACTCACCCCCTCACTCACCCCCTCACTCACTCACCCACTTACTCACCCACTCACTCACCCCTCACCCACCCACCCACTTACTTACCCACTCACTCACTCAACCCCTCACCCACCCACTCACTCACCCACTCACTCATTCACCCACTCACTCACCCACTCACTCACCCCTCACTCACTCACCCACCCACTCACTCACCCTCCCACTCACTCATTCACCCCTCACCCACTCACCTCACGCACTCGCTCACCCATTCACCCACTCACTCACCACTCACTCACCCACCCACTCACTCACCCCTCACTCACTCACCCACCCACTCACCCCTCACTCACCCACTCACCCACTCACCCCTCAAACACTCACTCATCCCTCACCCACTCACTCACCCACTCACTCACCCACTTACTCACCCACTACTCACCCCTCACCACCCCACCACCCACTCACCACTCACTCATCCTCACTCACTCACCACTCACAGACTCACCCACTCACTCACCACCACTCACTCACCCACTTACTCACCCACTCACTCACCCTCACCCACCCACTCACCCACTCACTCACCCCTCACTCACCCACCCACTCACCCCTCACTCACCCACTTACCCACTCACTCACTCACCCCTCACACACTCACTCACCGACTCACTCACCCCTCACTCACCCACTCACTCCCCCACTCACTCACCCACTCACTCACTCACACCCCTCACCCACTCACTCACTCACTCACCCCTCACTCACTCACCCCTCACTCACCCACCCCTCACACACTCACCTACCCACTCACCCACTCACTCACCTACCCACTCACTCACCCACTCACTCACCTACCCACCCACTCACTCACCCATTCACCCACGCGCGTGCAATTACGGCACATGGCTCGTGAGTCGAGTGCCCCGACTCACGTGGAGGTGTCCACCCCCCGGGTGGATCCTCATCCTCGTCTGCTCCTCCTCCTCGTCCAGCAGGACACTCCATGTCGGGCCACCTCGGCAACCATCTTCGTGCTCCGACGCAGGGGACCGCCGCGGAAAGGGGGCCACAAGGACCCCCGCGGCGCGCGTGGCTCTCTCGCTACTTCAGGTGAGGACCCAGATCTCTGCGCAGGCGTCCCTCGGCCCTCAGGCACCCACGTGTCGAGCGAACCTCGCGACCCTCCTGGGCCTCATGGGCCCTCGGGACCCCTCGGGACCCCTAGGCGGCACACAGGACCCCGTGATCCCTCAAGGATCCCGCGACCCCCCGGCAGAGCACGGCCATTCCCCTCGCCACCCCCTGCGCCCACCACCTCCTCCATACCCCCCTAGCCCCCCCCCCACTATCCCCTCCAGCCCCCCAATCTAACTACCCCCTCCACGTTTCCTGCTGCCCACACGCTGCCCCCCCCCCCTATACTAACACTCGCCTGCCTGTCGCCCCCACCCCTTAACCCACTACTGCCCACCTGCCCCCACTCCTGCTCCCCCCCCCACTCATACCCCCCCCCCCATCTCCTGCCCCCCCCCCCTCCAGGTGTTCCCGCGCGCGGGCACGCGCCACGCTGCTGCGGCGCGTGCCCGCGCTGCGCTGGGTGCCGCGGTACCGCGCGCGCGCGCTGCTCCCGGGTGACGTCATCTCGGGCATCAGCACGGGGGTCATGGCCGTGCCGCAGGGTACACACAGATACACACACAGATACATACAGATACATACACACAGATACATACACACAGATACATACACACAGATACATACACACAGATACACACAGATACATACACACAGATACATACACACAGATACATACAGATACATACACACAGATACATACACACATATACATACAGATACATACAGATACATACACACAGATACACACACAGATACATACACACAGATACATACACACATTGATACATACACACATATACATACACACAGATACATACACACAGATACACACACACACAGATACACACACACAGATACACACACAGATACATACACACAGATACACACACAGATACACACACAGATACACACACAGATACACACACAGATACATACACACAGATACACACAGATACACACACAGATACATACACACAGATACATACATACAGATACATACACACAGATACATACACACAGATACATACACACAGATACATACATACAGATACACACACAGATACACGCAGATACATACACACAGATACATACACACACAGATACATACACACACAGATACATACACACACAGATACATACACGCACAGATACATACACACAGATTCATATATACATATACACACAGATACATACACACATACACACACACAGATACATACACACACAGATACACACACAGATACATACACACAGACACACAGATACAGATATACAGATACACACACAGATACACACACAGATACATACATACAGATACACACACACAGATACACACACAGATACATACACACAGATACATACACACAAATACATACACACAGATACACACAGATACATACACACAGATACATACACACAGATACATACACACAGATACATACACACACACATACACAGATACATACACACATACACACAGATACATACACACAGATACATACACACAGATACATACACACAGATACACACAGATACACACTGTACACCACACATACATACACACAGACACACACACACACAGATACAACAACAACAACAACCGCCATTCGCCACTAAGTGGCGGTGACGTCACCACGACGCTTGTGCCAGGCTATGTGCACCCTGAGGCCACGTGAAGTGTCGAACGCCCGCTGGCAGGAGGTCACGGGGCAGACCCAGGTGCCACGGGTCGACTGACTGAGATGACTGGCTGATGCACCACCTGTGCCCCCTACTGTGCCAACCTGCTGTGCTTTAGCCACCCGGCGCTCCGCTCGTTGTTCTGAGCGTCGCTCCTCGCCCTCCGTTGTTGTTGGAGGGCGACTGCCTCCAACTGCCCAGTAGCATCCTTCACGAGCCTCCTCCACAGAGGCCGATCTTGACACCGCTGGTACCAGTCATCGGCAAGTCCACTCAGCTCCACGTCCTCCTGTACCACATCACTCCATCTCTCTCTAGCCCGTGCCGCGCCCGCTTAGCCCCCTCAATCCGGCCAAACAAAAGCTGTTTCGGCATGCGGTGGCTGGGCATGCGGGCTACATGACCCAGCCATCGCAGCCTTGCCTGCCGGAGGAGCTCACCGATGGGACCCTGCCCAGATCTTTCAAGGATTTGTGAGCTCCTCACACAATCCAGTCTGGTTAAACCCAGGATGGATCGTAGGCAGGCCAGCCTAAATGTTTCTAACCGGCGAAGATGTTCCATTAGGGGGGTCCACGCTTTGCAAGCGTAGAGAAGGGAGGGAATGACCGTGACCGAGAAGACCTGAAGCTTAGTGTGGAGTGACAGACCAGGTAGCTTCCACACAGCGTTACGCAACCGATGAAAAGATATTGCCGCTCGACTGATTCGGAAGACCTCTGCTGTTAAACTGGAGCCGGTCATAAGCACACTGCCAGGTATGGGAAACTCCCACTCGCTCCACAACTGCCCCATCCGATTGGGAGTTGTGGGGGTGGAGTGTCCGATGGTACAAAATACCAGGCAGGTGCTTAGTTTTGGTGGGGCTGATGGTAAGGCCCCACCTCTTAGTGGCACGCTCCAGTCTCAGCAGCAGCGCTCCAACTCCTCCTCTGAATGAGCAGCTATTACCAAATCATCAGCATATAACGTGGTTGAGCAATTGGGAGCCATCCCTTGACCGCACCCGGGCATCGATCAGCCTCCCATTATATCTGTACCATATGGAGATTCCCCCGGTACAGCTATTGAAGGCTTCACGAACTACGTGGTCAAAATAGATGTTAAATAATGTGGGAGCCAGAGGACATCCCTGTCGCACCCCAAGGTGTACAGGGAATGGCTCTGACTCCCGGCCACGTAGTTTTACCCGGGCCCGCTCACCATCATGAAGGTCCTTAATGATCGTGAGCAGAGGGTCAGGACTCCAAAAGCACGAAGAACAACTAAGAGCCCAGGCCTACTGATGGTATCATAGGCCTTGACCAGGTCAATAAAGCAGAGATGTAGGTCTTGTTGGAATTCCCTACACCTCTGCTGTAGCAGACGGACAGAAAATATGGCATCTGTGCAGGACCGCCCTTTCCTGAAACGCATTGGGGCTCCGCAAGCCTCTCCTCAGTGTGGGCAAGGCGATGTTGAATAATCCTTGCCAGGACCTTTCCCGCACACTGAGGAGTGAGATGCCCCTGTAGTTGTTACAGTCTGTGCGGTCCCCCTTCTTAAAGAGGGACCACCAGGGCATCCTTCCAATCCTGCGGAACCCGTCCAGTGGTCCAGACTGTTGTTATGATGTCATATAGGGCAGTCTGTGCACCAACGCCACCCTCCCTCAGCATTTCGCTTAGGAGATCATCTCTGCCCGCTGCCTTTCCTGGTCTCAGACTCCGGATCGCCTTCAGTACTTCCTCAACAGATGACACCTCAGCCAGCCACTCACAGGGGGTGACTTCTTCCAATATTTGAGGCACTGCAGCCTCAGCAGGTCATCCTCACTTTGTGCCACGATGTTTTCCTGGCTGAGGGATTTCCCCTCCCCCAGGACCTCACAGATATGCTCACACCTGTACACACCCTGTACACACACCTGTACACACACTGTACACACACTGTACACACACCTGTACACACACACCTGTACACACACCTGTACACACACCTGTACACACACCTGTACACACACACCTGTACACCCCTGTGCAACACCTGTACACACCCCTGTACACACACACCTGTACACACCTGTACACACACACCTGTACACACCCCTGTACACACCCTGTACACACACCTGTACACACACACCTGTACACACCTGTACACACACACCTGTGCACACACACACACACCTGTACACACACACACCTGTACACACACACCTGTACACACACCTGTACACACCCCTGTACACACACCTGTACACACACACACCTGTACACACCTGTACACACACACCTGTACACACACACCTGTACACACACACACCTGTACACACACACGCCTGTACACACACCTGTACACACACACACCTGTATACACACACCTGTACACACACCCCTGTACACACCCCTGTACACACACATCTGTACACACCTGTACACACACCTGTACACACACCTTTACACACCTGTACACACCCCTGTACACACACGCCTGTACACACCTGTACACACACACACCTGTACACACACAGGAATGGCGTACGCGCTGCTGGCCGCGCTGCCGCCCGTGCTGGGCCTCTACTCCTCCTTCTACCCTCCACTCGTCTACTTCTTCTTCGGCACCTCCAGGCACATCTCGGTCGGTGCGTACCTCCATTGTCTCACTCTGTGTCTCCCTGTGTCTCCCTGTGTCTCCCTGTGTCTCCATGTCTCACCCTGTGTCTCCATGTCTCACCCTGTGTCTCCCTGTGTCTCCCTGTGTCTCCATGTCTCTCCCTGTGTCTCCGTGTGTCTCCATGTATCACTCTGTCTCCCTGTGTCTCCATGTGTCTCCATGTGTCTCCATGTCTCGCCCTGTGTCTCTTTGTGTCTCCATGTGTCTCCATGTCTCGCCCTGTGTCTTCCTGTGTCTCCATGTGTCTCCATGTCTCACCCTGTCTCCATGTGTCTCCATGTCTCACCCTGTGTCTCCCTGTGTCTCCATGTCTCACCCTGTGTCTCCTTGTGTCTCCATGTGTCTCCATGTCTCGCCCTGTGGCTTCCTGTGTCTCCATGTGTCTCCATGTCTCACCCTGTGTCTCCATGTGTCTCCATGTCTCACCATGTGTCTCCATGTGTCTCCATGTGTCTCCATGTCTCACCCTGTGTCTCCCTGTCTCACCCTGTGTCTCACCCTGTGTCTACATGTCTCACCCTGTGTCTCCATGTCTCACCCTGTGTCTCATGTCTCACTCTGTCTCATGTCTCTGTGTCCTCCTGTCTCACTCTGTGTCTCAATGTCTCACCCTGTGTCTCCATGTCTCACTCTGTATCTTCCTGTCTCACCCTGTGTCTCATGTCTCACTCTGTGTCTCAGTGTCTCACCCTGTGTCTCCATGTCTCACCCTGTGTCCTCCTGTCTCACCTTGTATCTCCCTGTGTCCCCATGTGTCTCCATGTCTCACCCTGTGTCTCCATGTCTCACCCTGTATCTCTCTGTCTCCCGTGTCTCCCTGTCTCTCTATTCCCCCGGTGCCTCCCTGCCTCCGTGTTCCCCGCGTACCCGTGTCTCCCTCTCTCTTCACTCCGCGTGTCCCCGTCATCGCGTGTCTCTCTCCACGCCCCCGCATCTCAGTGCGCCCGTGGTCCTGTCCCCGTGACACCCGTGTCTCCGTAACACCCGTGTCTCCGTGCCTCTGTGCCCGCAATGCCAAGTGTGTCTATACCCGTTTTCCGCACACCCGCGTGTCCGTGTCCCTGTGCCTCCGTCTCCCCGTGTCCCGTGCCGCTCAACGAGGACCACCTGCGCAGGGGTGGGTCAGGTGAGCAGTTGGTCACCTCACCTTGGTGGATCCCGACCCCGCTCACCTGAAGTCCGTGTCTCCCTCACCCCAGGCCCGTTCGCCGTGGTCAGCATGATGGCCGGGGAGGTGACGGAGCGCCTCGCGCCCGACCACATGTTCACGGCGCCCAACTCCTCAGCCGTGCACGCCGACCCCGGGTCCAACGCCACGGCCGGGAGCCTGGTGG